AGCCAAAGTACTTGTTAAGCCAAAATTACAAGCCTGACTCATCCCGCTGCAGTAGAGCTACTACATTTACGGTAAAACTCTACGCCTTTGAGACTGAAATAAACGGTGTATTTTAAATCTCGAGCACTAGACAGGAACAAGGAGTTATTTATTAGTAACATTCTTTGGAATGACTGTTGTGACAGAACCCATAGCTGCAAAACGACAAATAGTGACCAAGGAGTCTTTTAAAAAGTAATTTAAATTTCTCTCTATAAACTCTGTGGTAATCGTGTGCTATTATCATCCAAACAAAAAATGATGATATTAATAATGAACTCACTACATCAATATTCTAACCTGTGAAATGCTTTGTAAATAGACCAAAATCTTTATTAGTTATGTAATTCTCGGCCTCGGCCTCTGTATTTCGTAAACTAGCGGCAAAGTACTGGATGGTAACCGATTATGGGGTGTTTTATGTGGGGTTTGACGCAAAGTAAAATCCTATACTCTAATATATTAGCATATTATGCTGAACTTTTTACGAGCATCTGCATCAATGCATCGTCATGTTTCTTGCTAAGCACAAGTTTCACCGCTTTTTGGCAAGCTGCTAGAATTATAGGATGTTAAGGAAAACTTTGAAACATTGATTTTTAATCATCTTAGTCTTTTTGCAATTGTCATTTCACTTTGTAGCCGATCCTTCCTATCATTATAAAAACCTGAGTAAAACTCTAGAAGTTCGACATGTCTTAGCTTAACAACCCAAAAGAAATGATAATTGAGTCTTCTAACGCTGCTGAAGACGAGGATTTATAAAGAAAATTTCGTGCAAGAGAGAATATCCTTTCTTGCTTCGTGTTAATTTTTTCATTATTCCTTCAGGGTGAGATCGATTCCAGCTATCATTGTTATGAAAAAAGAAGAGTTTTCTTTGTTTTTAGAATTATTTCCAGTTATAACAGCAAGATTCTTGCTGTGTGTTATGACATTTTAAAATGTATTTCAAGCCACCACGACAAAAAATCAATTACAATTAATCTCGAGACCTAAGCAGGAATGAGGAGATGTCTTTGAATAACATGACTGAAATTGTCTACTGTGGCTGCAAACACAGTTGAACTATAAAAATATTAATAACAGCATGCTTTTTAAATTAAATAGTTTTAAACTCTTCCTTCTTCGATTTTGAATGATATCGAAAAGCAAGCATTTCTTTTTTTCTTTTCAAAATTGTATAACACGGAATTCAATTAAAGACATGCAGGAGTTCTCTTCATTCATATTTTAAGCTTGTAGGACACCTTTTCTCCCATGAAGTTTAAATGTTTTTATTCAATGGATCGAACTTTCCTTTTTGTTTAAGTCAATGAAATTACTTACGCTTGATGACTTGTGTCCACAAAGTAATTTACAACATAATGATGATACGAAAATAAAGTATAACTTAAATAAAAGTAGAAACCTGTGTAGAGGTTCGATGTGTGTAAAATACATAGTTTATTTAAGCTGATAATTACCTCTTTATTGCGTAATAACTGCGTGCCTGTAAGGAACAAAAGCCTGTTATTCCTTATTCTTAATTTACCCCTCAGGGTGCGTGCGATTCTTTTCATCATTACAGAGTCTTCTTTATATTTACGGCCAGTGGCAAGTTTAAGAGAGTAAAATATGTTTCTATTTACCCAAAATAACACTCGAGAAACTAGACTGCTATGAAAAGTTGCGATGTTTATGAATAAACTCTAAACCGTTTCAAGACTGAAAAAAAGCGGTGTGATATATTCTCAAGGACCAGACAGGAACAAGAAATTAATTATTAACAGTCATTCTATTGACTACTAAGACTTCAGCTGTAATTATATGACAACAAATGCTAATGACAGCATTCTTTGTAATGCGTTTTGAATTTCTTACCGGAGAGACAGCATTCTTTGTAATGCGTTTTGAATTTCTTACCGGAGAGACAGCATTCTTTGTAATGCGTTTTGAATTTCTTACCGGAGAGGTGTTGCGTCTTAAAAGGTAAGCCAGTTTTCTTTAACACTAGTAAACACTCCAAGAATGAAAACTACATTAAAATATTTGGAACATACAACTTCTTCACTTCGAAATAATGAAAAGGAAAATAAATTGTCCGAACGAATTGGATGCGATATGCGATGCTTTACCTTAAAGCGATTAGTTTTGAGTTTCACAGTCCTAGTATAGGATTTGCTTTTCCTTTTTCTGCTGACGGGTACGATGTTAAATTTGACTTGATATTTCTAATTCTCCAACTAACAAAGTAAGGGTTTTTTTTTTAAAGCGACGGATTTAAAACTTGAGCTTTACATCACCTTTTTCAAAGAATCTGTCCAAAAAGGACATGTTCATTCATATTGGAAATACTCTGTATCAAATCTCGAATTTCACGTTTGCAATGCAGCATAATCGATGTCAATAAAGCAAAAATGTTCTTCGCAGGTAAAAGAAAACCTATAAATTTTGAAATATTGACCAGAGAATGAAGAAGTTGAAATGACATTTCTTTTTATCGACTTTCTACAACTTTCTACGACTTCCTTTGCGGCGCAAAGTTCTGGAACACTTTTCTTTCTCTAATTTTACGCGAGAGAGAATTCATCGATATGCCAGTTTATAATCTGATTTAAGGACACTGCGGAAGGCCTATTTGGTGCACCGTTTTCTTTTCCCGCTGATTAGAAGTGCTGTTTCACAGAACTTTTGTTTTCAGTCATTTGTGGCGGCGAAATAGCGTTTTCCGAAATCTCTCGTTTCAAAACATGACCAAAATCTCACCTAGAACATAAAAAAAACAATGATATTTCCATAGGGACATTTTTTTAATACCGTAACTGCAAGAATGCTCCGAATATAACCTTTGATTGTTATCTATAAAAGGCTTGTGTATTTGTTTTTAACACGACGATGGTCGAATTCTACTTTAGTTCTACTTTCCTCAACGGTTTCGAGGTTTCGCGGTGCCAAAGAGATTAAATGAAAAAAGATTGTAACAAAGTCGTGCAGGAACTTGTTTTATTCTGCACGTTCAGAGGGCTGGAGTATTCTTTAAGACTAACTTCAACATTAAAAAAAAAGGAAGAAATTGATAGCGTTCATGTAAGTTTCGGCAACAAAGCAATCATTAGGTTCACTTTGGATAAATGATTCGAGACAACTTTTCTCTAAATATTTTTGGGGTTCATCAAAAAAAATATTTTTCCGGAATAAATAGTAAGAGAATAAAGTTCAAATTGCTTGACCGATCGTACTTATTTTCTGCTTCGAGAAGTGTAATCTTCAGGACTTAATTATCTTCAAGCCCCACTGGGGTTTAGTCGGTTTTAATTTGCGTTCACGGGGGTCTTTCCTACAATAGAAACCTCCTAAGGAGGTTCGGCTAATTTCCATTCTCTAAACTGATAAAAAATAAATGTCCTTAATGCATCAAATTCGTAATTTTCGGTCACGGAACTATACTTAAAACAATGTTGTTGTTTTTTTTTTTTTTTTTATGGACTTATCTCCGACTTAAATTTCAATGCACAAAGGCTGTGCATTAAGAATCGAAGCTACTTGGTAACGATTTGACGCAAAGTGCTGATCGAATTTCTGGAGAGCTTTTTTTTAAGTATGTTAACACATCATTCTCAAATGTTTGAGAGCACTCGTTTTTGAGTAGAGGTGAATTATATATCTTTTAGGCTTAAAAGTTTCTGAAAAGTGATAACCAAGTCTCCCTGACGTTGGTGAGTGCGGGGACTCTAAGGAATAATTGCGTGTTTATCATTCGTTATTCCTTTTCGGGGTAAGTCAAATTCTCTGTTATCATTAAGATGAGAAATAATGTTGTTCTCTGTGCTAATAAAACGGTAAAATCGAACGTGCTTCATCCGTGTGTCGATACATTAAAGAAAAAATTGCAAGCGTTTGAGCTCCAACATATGGTGCAAAATATTTTATGTAGGACTTCAAAGGAGCGAGCACTCATCTTTTACCAACACAACCTACGACATTTTTCACCTCTAAAGAATAATAGAGAAATCGAGACCAAAGTTTTGCCGCAATTCAACAGGCCTTTTTCAATTAAAAAGCCTCATTTCAATCTATGGATTCATAATGCAAATTCAACCTCACATCTCCTCTCTTAAATTGATATGGAGGAGGAATCGAATCATTTTGTTCAAACCGAATCTTTGGCGCAAAAGTTGTGCGGCATTGTTTAATAAGGGTGTCGAAAAATTGCAAGCACAGTAATATTAACGTAAGGAAAGCACAGAGTCTTGTTTGAACTTTTTTTTCTTATCAACTTGCCATGACATGAATTAATATTCTCTCCTATAAATCAAACGGTCACGATATGTTTTGCATGGCCAAAATGCCGTAACTCAAAATAACAATGGATCAAGTCTATCAAAAAATATATGAATGCTTACCTCACTCGTTTCATTGTCACCTTTTAATCTTGAGGCCGATCAACATCTCAGCTGCAACTCTGTCTAGGAAGCAACCTTTACAATTCCCAAATAACTGCAAGAGATATAAAAGTTAAGAATATCAAAGAGGCGGATGAACAAAGGTGTAGCGACTCCGACCGTAATAACATTTAGAAGACATGTATTTGACTTACAACCAATTCAGAATGGATTTCTTTATTTCTTTTCCATAAATCGGACGGTCACGATATGTTTTGTATCGCCAAAATGCCGCAACTCATAATTCCCAAATAACTGCAAGAGATGTAAAAGTTACGAATATCAAAGAGCTGCGGATGAACAAAGATGTAGCAACTCCAACAGTAGTAACATTTAATAGACATGTAGTTGACTTACAACCGATTCAGAGTGGATTTCTTCATTTCTCTTCCGCTTGTTTGTCCTTCCGCCTATTTTGGGGGGCATTTTGTTTGATTACTTGTTTGGTTTGGTTTGTGTTAAATCAATGGGCCAGAAAAAAACGCTCAATGCATATTCCTAAATAACGTATACTTTCCAATTTCAGCATCAGTGGCAATGGCGAGGAATTCAAGCTTCCTAATCCTATTGGCCTCTTTGTATCTCATGGACTTCGCTATTGCCAAAATTCCGTGCAAGACAGAAGTTAGCTTACCTGGTATGGCTCTCAAAGGATTCGTCTTTAAAAAGGTCCCAGTAACAGCTCCTCATGTGTGCGATATCACCTGCGAGAGAGAAACGATATGTCAAAGCTACAATTATGTAATTGGGGAAAAGTCCTGTGAATTGAACTCCCGAACCAAGGAAGCAAGGCCCGAGAATTTTCAGCCAGATGATTTACGCTTTTACATGGGACGCATTAGTGGTAGAAGTATGTATCCGGTTTAGTTTATTTTACATACAAATCTTTCTCAGTGAGTTCCCAGTAAGACCTCGCTACTTTCCGAGAGCTGCTGTCCGATTGCTTTGTTATTAAATAGAGTCAGTGTCTTAAAGCAAAATTCGCCTTCCATGCATACATTGATATCAGCTAAACTTCTCGGCTCTTAATTATTGTTATTCCATGTTTAGCCCGCACAAATATATTTTCAGATCTAATCTGTTTTGCAACTTCTATTACCCTTAAACCATTAATGAAGTCATGTCTATATATTAGCCCCCTTAGGATCTATTCCCGAATTACCAGCGTTATCGTGCCAAGAGATAAAATTAAGTGAAGGTAAAGACAGCATCAGTAAAAACTACTGGTTGGATCCAACTAATGTCGGGAGCTCAAAGTTGGTTTACTGCGACATGATTTTGGAAGGTAAGTCAGTATACCAAGAACAGAATTTACACAACGTTTGGTCTACCTTTGCCTCAGCCTTTTGTGAAATGTTTTCACCTTGTCTCAGTGTTTTCTTTGATTAATTTTCAATTAGACATCGATGAATGTAAAGGCAGCAATAACGTTTGTGACGAAAATGCAAACTGCTCCAATACTGTTGGGTTTTATAATTGCACCTGCAAAGAAGGATTTATTGGGGATGGACGCTCGTGCTCAGGTAAAATAGTTACAGGCATGCCGAGGTAAAATATTTAATATTTTTTCGCCTAAAAAACACTGATTGTATATTTGAGCTATCAACAATCGAATGAGTGAATAATAGACCAATGATAGCTTGCATGCTATAACAGAGAAGCCTTAGCATTAAACGACGCAATTTTAGCAGGAACTACTGTCCTACTATTGCTAAGTTTTGTTTTTTTAAGCAGCATTACCCATATATGTGTATGCAAGGAGCTGCCATGATCTACATCCGGTTTTTCCAGAGCCATCATGTTAAGAGATTAAAAAAATATATTGGAGAAGAGAATATAATATGTAGGTTGCACGTTTCAAAAATCTAGTTCGTTAACGACGAAAAAGTGAAAGCTTTTACTTATTATTTGAAATGATTAAAGTAATTACAAATCGTTACGTGACAAAAATAAAGTGCAAAATGCATTTACGGTTTCTCAGATATTGACGAGTGTAAAGGAAATCACTCCTGTCACGTAAATGCTACTTGCAATAACACCCTTGGATCACATGTATGTGAATGTCAGCCTGGTGAAAATCACTTGACTCTGATGATGACTTCCGCTCAGGTTGTCCAAACGTCAGTCACCACTACCGACAACAGTCCTTCTCAGGACTACACTCACCCGGACGATCAAACTACACTATTACTTGAAAATTATTATCATCAAGTTTTGTAAAATAATCAAGATACTACGAGCGCTCTGATTGGTCAAAAAACAACCGTTGATTGTAGCGATAAACCCATGGAAAATTGAAGTTTATGTTATAAAAGTAACAGACCACATTTTATATCGGTTTACCAGCGTAGTAAACGTCTCCAGATGTTGGGAAACCACTCGAAAAAAAAAAAAAAAAAAAAAAGGAAATCAATCGCCTCCAACTCGGAATTACAAACTTTTCTCGTGTCCTCACAACAACTCCGTTGATAAGGGAAAAATTCAGGAAAAAAATCTAAAAGAAATGGCAGGTTGAGTCCTGAAGGGATTGCTCGACAGTACAACTGATAGAAAATACCTCGATCGTGATGAATAAAAATGTCTTAAACGCATTTGGTAGCATATAGTCTCATAAACTCAGAAACTGTTAAAGGTGCTGCGTCGGTGTTGAGGAGTATAACGTCAGGGTGGCAAATTTACGTTTTCAACTCGGTTGTATCACCCGATGCCAATATTAAGATGACGCTAAATTGGTCCAGTGTTTTGTGACGACCTATCACCCAAGGGACGTTTTGTGGGAGCAGCAAAGCCGATAGATAAACAGAAATACTCGTGATAAAATATACGTTTCAAATATCTAATTCGTGGAACACAAAAAGAGAAAAAATTGTTTTATTATGTATGATTATCAAAGTAATCACTCGACTGAGAGTCCGCTCATTTTTAAAGTGATAAACATGATGAAGTGCAAATATATATGTGGTTTCCTCAGATATTGACGAATGTAAAGGAAATCACTCTTGTCACGTGAATGCTACCTGCACGAACACCAACGGATCCTATCTTTGTGAATGCCACCCTGGATTTAATGGAAATGGTCAAAGCTGCACAGGTGAATTTAATCTCTTTGCTATAATATTTAGAATATTCCTGCTCGAATATAACCTGAAGCTGCTGAGGTGGCCATATTATTAGTTTCTCATATGTAAACGATACCGGTTGTGCCCTAAGTCTGCCTACAGCTGTCCTTTAATGCATTGTCTGAAAAAGAAGGAGCTCAAATTCGGATCCTGATGAGTTTATCTGGATCTCCAATATCACTGTTTTAGTCTCAAAGCCTTAAAGTAGTTAAAGACATGCGAGTTACAATGTTTAATTCTTTTTCGCCTAAAAACACTGTAGGTACATTTAAGCAATTGCTATCTACAATCGAGTGAGTGAATAACAGACCAATAATAACTTGCATGCTATATCTGTGGATCCATAGCATTAAATGAAGCAATTTTAGCAGGAACTATCGTCCTACCAGTGCTAAGTTTTGTTTTTTTAAGCAGCATTACCCATACATGCTTATGCACGGAGTTGCCATGATCTACTTCCGGTTTGTCTCAGAGCCTTGATGTTAGGAGATATAAAAAAGAATATTGGAAAGGAGAATATAAAATCTAAGTTGCACGTTTCAAAAATCAAGCTCGTTAAAGACAAAGAAAGAGAAAGCTTTCTCTTATTATCTGAAATGATTAAAGTAATTACAAATCGTTAGACGACAAAAATAAAGTGCAAAATGTATTTACGGTTTCTCAGATATTAGAGTGGTTTAGCAAGAGGACGGGAACGTCATTTCAGAACAGGAAAGCGCGCGGATAATCTGGACACGACTCTATTTCGACTTCCGGTGTTAGCGTTGCCGTTCTCCCCATCAAGTTCAGGACGTCATTTCGCTGATTTCCCGTCGTGATCAAAACGCCTAGGATTTGCGTTAATTGTGCACTTATAAACGAGATAATGCTGTTTGGAATGATTTCAGAACTCATTTCCAGGATAACCAGGTTCCTTTCTTTGTTTTATTCGGTGAATTTGTGAAAATTTATCGCCACATTTATTCTGGATTCCCGAAAGGAAACACGATCGTTAGCAAGCGATCTAAGATTTTAGGGCTTAGTTACCTTTTGTAATTGAGCGTGGCTTTAAGCAACGTAGGGCTTTTCTTTGATACATTTCTTTAACCATAACTCTAAGAACGGGTGCTGTTAGTTTTATCGTGAATTAATTCATCAATAAATTAAACTTGCTTCATGTTGAAGTTTATCAAATGAAACAACACGAAGGTTACCTGCCATATTATTCAGTGTTATTTGTTGTCATTGTCGTTTTAACCGTGATTAAAAATTGTTCTGCGAATTGAAGTCAGAGATAAAAAAAATTTGAGAATAGCTTGGGCTGCACTTTTTTATGTCTTTAGTTTTGATCAGCGCCGGTGAAAACTTAGACAAGAAAGTCATCTACGAAAGAAAATAACAATCAACTTGATTTCGGCACGGTTTTCTAAATCTATTAATTTGATTCAGTCTTCAACGACTTTATTCGTTAAAAAAATTAAATAAAAAAAAAACAAAATAAAACAGGAACGAAGTCTGATTCCTCAGTCTAACCGTTTCGTTGGTGACTAGTTTGAGTGCATTTCATTCGTTCATGGTTAAACGGGAACTCATTGTAAACAACTCCATCGTTGGGTCGCTTGATCTCTACATGTTTCGCCATGACTCCTGCTTAAAAGAGGTGTACTGTCATGATTGAGAAGAATATTCAGTAAACAAGGGAAAAAACGGCGACGATTTCAATTCCAAATTATACTTTACAAAATTATGAAGAAAAACGAGTAGTGCTGAAATCTAGAAGCACGAAACGAAATGACAGCGATACAAATCATAGAAAAAAAATATTTAGTGGGCTTCAAAATTTGATAGATGAATCTGCAGACTCGAGACTTAACTGAAATGAAATAATTTCAAAGTTTAATCGCCCATGTGGATTCATATTAACAACTCACTTGTAGTAAACTATCCTCGGTTTGTGCTTGTCGTTACACTCTCAAAGAGGATAATTTCGTTGTCCTTCAAGTGGTCTATGAAACCGAAAATTCAAGGCTGATAATGATCCGAAAGAGCCAAGGTTAGGATATTCAAGAACAAATATAACGTGGACGGTTCGTTGAAACGACTGCTAAGTCACTTTTCAACACAACGCGACGGCGTTTTCGACCCAGTTTTTTCTCGGCATTTTTGCTGCGCGCGCCGTTCTGAAATGACGTTCCCGTCCTCTTGCTAAACCGCTCTATTAACGAGTGTAGAGGAAATCATTCCTATCACGTGAATGCTACATGCATGAATACCCTTGGATCACATGTATATGAATGTCACCCTGGATATGCTGGAAATGAACAAAACTGCACAGGCGAATTTAATCTCTTTCCGAAATATTCATGACATAATTGACTCCAGCGCCGCACCATTCAGCCGCGTTCACTCATAACTCGTAATATAAGCAGCGGTTTTTCATGAAGGCGATGAAATTTTTATTTTGTTTCCCGCGTTGAAAGTAGCAGTAAATTCCTACGAGTTGACTTTCCTCCGAAATTCACATCGAGGAAGCATAATTTTATGCTACCTTGTGTACAAAAACGAATCATTTTTTTGATTATGTTTTAAATGATTTAACAACCTTACACGAACTTTTACATGATGCAGACATGAAACTCTCCGTGGAACTAAAAAACCTTCAGGAATCCCAAACCTTTAAAGATTCCCTAATAATAATGATAATAATAATAATAATAATAGCAGCTATGATCCTTATTTGACTTATGCAAACCGATGAATGAGTTGCCAGCAATCGGATCCTTGTGTTTTCGCAAAGATTTCTGGGAACGCCACGGGGCAAACATTACAACTCTCTAGAAATAAATGTATGGCGAAAGGCTGTTTCGAGGTCCAAAGAAACGTTTACGAAGAGAGATCACCGCTTTTTTTTGCCGCTGCTTTATCATAATTGGAGTGGGTAATGTTGATTCAAGGGAAGCGTAAGTTTTGTTTGAACAACCATGAAATATGAAGTAAAATGAGCCGATTGACTTTTCACCATGCGCACGGTTTATTGTGAAATTGACATCGTGTTCTGGTCTCGAAATTTAGACATATTAGCCTTTTCAGTTTTGTTTACGTGTGTTAAGTCTACTTATAGCTTCTAGCTTTTTTCTTGGCTTGGTAATACAAAAGAGCGCTACAACGCTACCTTGAAGCAGCAGGAGATCGAAATGGTGTGCTTGGGCATTGAATAATATCGCGATACATATATGTTATTTGCCGGCTAAGGGTCGGTCCGTATGGTGAAAAACTGTGACCGAGGTCTTGAAAATGCTGGCCGAGGTCACAGTTTTTCACCATACGGACCGACCCTTAGCCGGTAAATAACATTTTTTTTTTTTTTTAACTTAACGAAATACATTCTGAAAGAACCCGAATGATTTAGGGCTATAAATACGGCA